TTCTAAGTAACATCTTGGTTTCCCTGATACACTTATTGAAAAAAATCATCTTTCCTTTTTTTTCTTTTTTTAACTAATTCAAATAGAAACATCACCTTTGTTAAACATTAAAGTGTTATATATACATTAGTCTACTTCTCTTTTCTGTTTAAGTAATTTTTCTGTTCTTTAACTAGTAGCAGATTGTTTTAATTACTGTAACTTGAAAATACTTTTAATATGTGATAGGGCAAATCACTCCCCTCTATCTTTGCTTATCAGAAATTTTTTTTTTTTGGTGAGGAAGATTCGCCCTGAGCTAACATCTGTTGCCAATCTTCCTTTTTGGGCTAAAGGAAGATTCACCCTGAGCTAATATCTGTGCCAGTCCTCCTCTGTTTTGTATGTGAGTTGCCACCTCAGCATGGCTGACAAGTGGTGTAGGTCCAAACCCGCGAACCCTAGCCGCTGAAGCAAAGTGAGCCAAACTTAACCACTACTCCATAGGGCCAGCCCCTATCAGAAATTTTTATGGGGACTTTTCCCCCTAGCATTTATTCTTCTGGTTATAGTTTTAAGATTATTTGCTTAAATCCCATTTGCCTTTTATCCCCTCACCACCAAAAACTGAGTTTAAGATTATAGATTAATTTGTAGAATATTAATAGCGTTAAGCTTTGTGCTTAAAATTTTTAGGGTATTAAGAACACGATCTTTTTCACTTGTATGTTTCTAAATAAAAGTTATTTTTAGGAAGGTGACATTTGAGAAAAAGACCTGAGCTTGAGGGAATGACTATAGAGCTAATAGGAGAAAAACCAAGTGCAAACGCCCATGATCTGGAAGTGCGCCTGCCATATTGGGCAAATAGCAAGGAAGTCAGAGTAATTGATAGAGTGAGCTAGGAGAGAAGCAGGAAATGAGGTCAGAGGATAAAGGTGACTGGTGGTATAGGGCTTTGTGTGCACCATTGCAAGAACTTTGGCTTTTATTGCTCGTGAGAGGAGAAGCAATTTGAAATGTCATGATCTGACTGAGGCTGTAAAACAAGATTACACTGACTACTGTGTTGATTAGTTGGAAGTAGGGGCAAGCAGAGAGACTGGGTAGGAGGCTATTGAAGAAAACTTATATGAGAAAAGATTGTGAATTAGACCACAGTGATTGCAGTTGAGGTGGTATAAAGTGGTCGGATTTGGGATACATTTACAGGGTGGAGACAACAGGGTTTCCTGATTGGATATAGGGTATAATAAAAGAGCGAGTTTAGGATGAGTCCAGAGATGTAGGACTGAGCAGCTGGAAGTTGGGAAGAGCGGGAGCTCAGTTTTGAACTTGTTAACTCTGAGATGCCTATTAAGACCTCTAAGTGGAGATGTTGAGTGGGCAGTAAAATATATGTCTCAAATTATACTAATTGGTGTCCTAATATTAAATAATCTTGATATCCAGAAATGAATCCCCACTTGCTCATGGTAGGTGGGGTTTATATTTGTTGTGATTTTTTTAAAAAATACATTTTTTAATGAGTTTAAAAAAAACTTTTTTTTTTTTTTGTGAGGAAGATCAGCCCTGAGCTAACATCCATGCTAATCCTCCTCTTTTTGCTGAGGAAGACCGGCTCTGAGCTAACATCTATTGCCAATCCTCCTCCTTTTTTCCCCCAAAGCCCCAGTAGATAGTTGTATGTCCTAGTTGCACATCCTTCTAGTTGCTGCATGTGGGACACCGCCTCAGCATGGCCCGAGAAGCGGTGCATCCGTGCGCGCCTGGGATCCGAACCCGGGCTGCCAGTAGTAGAGTGAGCGCACTTAAACTGCTAACCCAGGGGTCCGGCCCCTAAAAAAACTTTGTTTTAAAATGGGTTCCTGGGCCGGCCCTGTGGCTTGGTGGTTAAGTGCGCGCGCTGCAATGCTGGTGGCCTGGGTTCGGATCCCGGGTGCGCATCGAGGCACCACTTCTCCGTCCATCCTGAGGCTGAGTCCCACATACAGCAACTAGAGGGATGTGCAGCTATGACATACAACTATCTACTGGGGCTTTGGGGGGAAAAAATAAAATAAATAAAATCTTTAAAAAAAAAAAAAATAAAATGGGTTCCTGCATACAGTTGCCATCTGTGTGTGTGTGCCGTTGTGTACTTAACAAATATATCTGTAGGATAAATTCTAGCTGTGGATTTGTGCAAAGAAGATATGAATTAAGTAATTTTAAAGTTGTCCAAACTGTCCTTCAAAAAAGTTGCAAAAATTTGTCTTTGAATAAATTGTGTTGATATTTTTATATATTCCTAGGTTCTGTTTATTAATATTTTACTTCACAGTTTTCATTGAAAAGTGAGATTGATGTTTAAGTTATATGTGTGCACGTACCTTTTGTCAGATTTTAAGTAAGAATTCTATTTTTCTAAAAGGACTATAGAATTCATTCTGATTTGTCAGCATCAGCCATTTTAATTGAATAGAAATTATCTGTTCTTTAATGTTTTTAAAGACTTCACTGAGGAAGCAGACTAGTCTGAGCCCCTGCGTTTTTTTAAGCATGCATATTGTATTCCCTGATTAGATGGAATACAAAAATATATAACATTTAGACACCATAGAAATGCATAACATAGAAAATGAAAGCCTTCCTTAATCTCTCCCCCACTCCCTCCTCCATGATGAGACATGAGTGGTTTCTTGCACATTCCTCTATCCTTCTTCTCTCTGCATGTTATAAATGTTTTATTTGGATAACATTACTATGCTAAGACTTTTTATTTTAGCTTGGCAGTTTATCTTAGCTGTTTCTTCAGGTTAGCTTATAGAGAACTTAGCTTTATGCTTATAAATGGCTGCAGTAGAATGTTCCATTTATGTGTGCATATATATATGCTGTTCGCCTTTTTTCTTTTTCTCTTCATTAGGCTAGTCTTATAGTTTATCTAATTAATTGGTCTGTTCCTATCCACCCTGCCCTTGAGGTGGGTATGGGAAGAAAGAAAAGAAAAGCTTTGCAAAGAACAGCTCTTAAATTTTCTATTTCTAGGATGTATTTCCTGTTTTGATAATTTCAGCCTTTATCTTAATCGCTTTTCTTAGTTTTGCTTTCTTATTCTTGCTGTATTCTTTTTACCCTACACCCAGTCTATGGGCTATTGACTTAGGGATATACTCTAGCCGTAAAATGGAATGTTGTTCATTGTCCCACATGGAGAGCTAGCTGATATCATGGGTTAGTGTATGAGGGAAAAACACGTCTCTTTTAAGATTTCTTATTTTAATTTTTGATACCTTTTTTAAATCTCTTTTTGTTTTTTATTTATTTTTTTGGCAAGGAAGACTGGCCCTGAGCTAACATTGGTGCCAGTCTTCCTCTACTTTGTATATGGGACACCGCCACAGCATGGCTTGATGAGCGGTGTGTGGGTCCACGCCCAGAATCTGAACCCGTGAACCCTGGGCCACCAAAGCAGAGCGCGCGAACTCAACTACCGCACCACCAGGCCAGCCTTGCTAATCTTTTTAATGTTTAAAGTTTGGGTGCAATTTTTAGACCTTAACTAATTACCTAAATCCTCCATTCATCTACTGTATCGTCTCTGGTTTTCATCTCTGCCTACATGTGCCCTTCTCTCTTTACCTCAAAAGGTTATCTCCTCCAGAAAACCAGCCCTGATTAAATAGGGTGCAAAGGATTTTTTTCCCCCAAAACAACCAATGTTGTCTACATACAGAAGTGTCATGTTTAGTTGATATAATTTCCTTTCAATGGCAACTACAATTGCAGCTCATTAGAATTCTTTTACTTTAGTGCAAGTTGCTCAGTCTAACCTTCATAAGACCTTCTTTGCATGCCACCCATTTATGTGGTTGCAAGAAGGAGGCAGTTGGGGAAAGCTGATAAAGACCATATTGTTCTCATATTTATCTTTCTCCTATACGTGCTTGTAAAGGCAAACAGCTTTCGAGAGATGTCTGTGCTGAAAAGAAATGCAGCTCTGGCAGTTGTTACAGTTTTTGCTAGCAGAGTTTTGATGCTACCCTTTTGTCTTGATTACAGTACTATCCTTGCTGCTAGCATCCCTTCTCGTAGCACCATTCCATGGGCAAATCCTTTCTTCTAGGACTGCACGCTGCCCGAATGCTTTTTATGGGTCATGCTTTGGCAAATGCCAGACTTGTTCATCCTAACACTGGAACTTAGGGATCCTGCATTCAGCATGACCTGAAGTTTTCGCCTCAAAGCATAAATTTGTAAAATTCCCATTTTTTTTACAGAATTACATCTTTTGAAGACTTGGATTATATTTCACTGTGGACTTAGCTAGAGAGGTTATTTCTTATCCTGCCCACATGTATGCAAAGGAGGTTTAATGGAAATAATTTCCATCCCCTTGGAATTAATCTAACACAAAGACTTATGGGTGTGAACACTCAACCATACAAAATTTATTTTCATTACTTAGGCATGTGCTTTATAGCAGTAGATTTTAGGGTAGGTTAAAGAGTAGCTAATGAGTTCTGTGTGGTCCAGCAAAACATGCCACCTTGTTTGAGAGCACACCTGGAAGTCTTTTTAGGAGGCGCTGTGAAAACAGGAGAGGTGTGGTTCGTTATTAAGGTTCTTCAGTGGATGAAGTTGCTGAAGAGAGCAAGTCATGTCCCACCTGGGAATCAGGAGCCAACTCTTCACCTTAGCAGACAGTTGAAAACTATCATGGTGGAAACACGCAGGTTTTGTCAAGTGTTCTCAGAATGCACAGTTTCAGTAGCTTTAAACTATCACAAGTTTTGTACCTAGGTAAGCACTTAGGACTTCAAGAAATTGGATTTCATTATTGAAAAAGAAGCAAGTTTACTTAATCAGTTTGAAAGTTAGTGTGTTGGAGAAAGGGAAATCTTTTAACAAACTATTCAAATGTTCTGTTAGCAGTGTCATGTGGGTATCTAGAAGGGCCTTTTGAATCTTTGGGACAGTGAGTGGGGAGCTGTATTTTCATCACATACTGAATTGTCAGTTTTGTCTGCCTTTCACAGGTTCACCGAAATAGCACGGTGCGCTCTGGCTGTGATGTGAACCCCTCCTGTGCACTATGTGGCTCAGGCACCGCCAGTACCATGCCTCCAGAAATCCACTACGAAGCCCCTCTGTTGGAACGCCTCTCCCAATTGGACTCGTGTGTTCACCCAGTTCTAGCATTTCCAGATGGTAAGAAAGGGCACAGAATATTATCAAGTCTGATAAATGAGACTTCAAGGGTTCAAAGTGAAAATAAGTCTGCCAAGATGGTGGTACAACGCAGGTACTATCAAGGTATCACTTTCTGTCAGCAAAGTCTTCTCTTAAAATTTTGCAAAAAGGGTATAACAGATCCACCAGACCAGAATATGCCCTAAAAGAGAGATTTCCCCTTAACCCTTCAGTGGCTGGACGGGGCCCAGGGAAAGTTGCCTCCAGCCACAAGCAGCCTAGTCCATTATACCCCAATATATTATTTAAAATGTGTTGTTTGCATGGCCATGATGTAAAATATGATAGGCAACACTGTTCTGGGAGAATGTCTTTATATTGGAGGTGTATGTATTACTGTGGTTACATGACAGCTTTTCAGGGTGTACATAAGCCTAGATCCTCAGTGTTAACGTGCTGTTTTTCTAAAGTTAATCTACCCGATAAGCCTGTGTGTCTCCCATTTTTCCTTTTCGACTGCCCTTTTCAGAATTGCTCATCTCCCATTTCCCAAACGAAAGTCATTCCTGGGCCGGCCCCGTGGCTTAGCGGTTAAGTGCGTGCGCTCTGCTACTGGCTGCCCGGGTTCGGATCCTGGGCGTGCACCAACGCACTGCTTCTCCGGCCATGCTGAGGCCGCATCCCATGTACAGCAACTAGAAGGGTGTGCATCTGTGACATACAACTATCTACTGGGGCTTTGAGGGAAAAAAATAAATAAATAAATAAAATTAAAAAAATAAATAAAGTACATGCGTTTAAAAAAAAAAAGTCATTCCTCTTACCCATATTGAGTCTCACTGTGGGACTCACCCCAGAGTATAAAAACCTTGGGCAATAGGGATACCAAAGGGACTATTTCCAAGAGAGTTCATGGCTCCTGGAGGAGAATCCCATGGGAGTTAAAAAAAGAGTTTTGAATAAAAAATTTAGTGAACACAGGAACCTTATTTTGTTTAGAATATAACTTATGGCAGAATTCTGTGCCTTGTCTGTCATCTTAAAATAAACATTAAGAGAATTAATAACTGAAGTTAGGCTTTAAAGTCTGACTAAGTAGGTTTAAAGAAAGATTTTTTCCTTCAGTTAATTAAATTAAATATATGTACATGCTAAGGTGTTAATTTAAATATTTTTAAAGCATATGGGTAGTATTCTGGGAAATATAACCTTTATAACTGTCTATGATTTTCTTTTAAAAAAATTCTCATTTCAAATGGTGGGGGTACATGGGCAAAAATGTACTGCTTTAGATAGAGACTACAGGAAGCCAGAACTTTCATAACCTGGATTGGTTTCACTGATTTTGCAGTTAATCTCATGATCTAGCCCCAACCTACAGAATGTAAGCATTTCCTCTTGGATCACTGTGGTATTTTATCTATATGTGATGGCTTATATTATGGCTGTTTATGGACTTACTTTTCATTACCTAAATTTTAAGCTCCCTGGGGATAAGGGACCATGTTTTTCTTCCTACTCTGTCCTTCGTAACACCTTACAGATAGTCTGCACAAGTTTTTGAAAGGAGAATAACTGAAATATGAGTCTGAGGAATGAGAATTACGTGGGATTGTAAGACTTACTTGGGAATATGAGAAAAAACTCAGAAGTTTTTAGCATGAGCGGTATATAAACTTTTTCTTAAAGGGACAGGTGCTAAATAATTTGGTCTTTTCAGGCCATACTGTCTATGTTTATTCTGTGTCGAAACTACTCAGCTCTGCCATTTTAACACAAAAGCAACGATCAACAATATGTAAACAAATGAATGCGGCTGTGTTCCAATGAACTTTATTTATAAAAACAATCATTGCTGATATCTATGCTAGAGAATCCCCTCTTTATCTGTTCTTCAAATGATTGAATCCTTTCTTGGCCACTGAGTCCTATAACTGCTCCATGCCTTGGTATCAAAACTCCCATCAACTATAAGGAAAGGCATGGTGTAATATTCCTGCTGCCACGTGGCTTCTAGTAAGAGTAGAAAAATTTAGAGAACTTGGAGTATATGAATAGCAAGCTAATTAGGGACAGAAGTTTAGGGCAGGAGTGGTGGAGCAGTAAATAAACTTTAGAACATAATGAGTGGGAAAACTAAAATGTTTTCTTCTGTGCTTCAGATTCTAGAGACTTTTACCTTCTCTTGCCATTTGGATTATTATAGCTCATATAACTTGATATTATTTTTTGGTTTACATTTTATGGTTTACAAAGTACTTTTCTCATGCTTGTCTCATTTGCTTCTCTCATTAATCTTGAAAGATATTACTTTAGTTTTACAGATCAAGAAACAGGTTTAGAGAGGTTGTGGTTTATCTCAGGCTAAATGAGTTTAGATGGCTCTAGAATTCAAACCCAGATCATCTGATACCTGTCCTTCATTTCACTATATTCCATGTTCCTTCTTAGCCAGGTCATCAAGTGAAGTCAGGTTTCTAACCCATTTCCATCCAGATTCTGGCTGCAGATGGAGCCACAAGGAAGACTTGGAAATATTTCTTGGGTTCCTCTCTCAGGTTTACAGTGTTGAATTGTATGGTATCATATTTGAATAAAGAAGCCTGAAGCCTGTAGTTGTATTCTGATTCTGATAAGGCTTCTTCCATATTCACTGAATATCAGCTGATAAACATGGTGATCATTCTTTTGTCAACAGTATTACAATGTACAGTTGTGAATTGTTTCCCCTGACCCCCATCAAATATGCCCAGACCAGCTGCCTGACATCTCCTATTCCATCATTCATCATCTCTACTAGGAGGTACCCATTCCTATTAACACCTTCTGTTCTTCTGGCTGCTTTATATCTATAGATCTGATTTCTGCCCTTATACTTCCTCCCTCCATCCCATTCCAGGCAACTGTAGGTAGCAGTGGTGGGTGGGGAGGTAGAGGGGTGATATGGAGCACCCTTTTCTCTAGTCTTTATCATCTTCATTTTCCTACTTGCTTCCAGATACTGTTTCTCTCTCTGTTTGACTCTCTGTCACTCACTCACTCACACACACACCCAATCGTGACACTGGGGTTTGGACAAGAGAATTGGTCATTAAATTCTCCTTGTGAGACTATAAGGGAGAATATATATATGTATTTCACTGTCTCGGGTAGAATGTATGAACATATTTGCCTAAGGATAAATTAAACTTACTGTGGGTTGACCTGGGGACCTAATTACTTTATCTAATATTGTGTCTATTGGGATAATTTTGCTTTGATCCAAACAACTGCCACATTCAGAATGCAATCTGTTTGTAAACTGGAAGATTCCCAGGGCCACAAAGATGTCCATCTCCATAGGGCACCAGTATTCTGTGTGAATAGTGCCTCCTAAAGTATTGAGATTCCTCAGATATCATTGTGTAGAATGGTAAGTAACAGTGAAGAACAGCAGGCAGCGTGATGCTGTTTGGGTCAAACATACGTGCAGCAGACCTGACCTTTGGGGCCACCCTTTTACAGCCTCTTCTCTAGAAGATATTTAAAGATGGCAGGATTTCCAACTTTTCATTTTCAGGTAGAGTTTTACTCATGTTTCCTAACCAGTTTGTGTAGTTTGTCAGGATGAGAACCAGCTGCACTGCTGAATCCTCGAGTTTTGCCTCCCATCTTGACCACAACTCAGCCACTGCCCTTCAGTGTGGCTCGAGATGATAGAATTTGAGGAACTGTATGCCTGGCTAGAAGATGGAGGCATTAGGGTGTGATAACCCTTTAGCACTCCAGAAGGAGTTGCTTGTTTCCTTATCATCTCACTTAATCAAGCCAATTAATCCTTAGCTGGATGTGTATGGGGTACATAACCTTGGGGAAAAGAATGTTAACTTAGGTTTGGGCTTAATAAGAGCACCACCTGCTGGCCATGAAGCAGCTGTTTTGAGAGAGCTCGCCAAGACAATTAGCTGTATATATGAGGTTACCACAACTTACCAGCAGGAGGAAGAAATGAGAATTACACAACACACCAAGAAAGTGTGCTTGAGAAAATGGTGGAAAGTTATGAGCAGAACAGTCAAGCGAATCATGGAGTGTCAGGCCCTGATGGGCCTGAAGTCAAGACTTTTTCATTTTGTTTGAGGAAATAGTAGCAAGATAATGTTAGTAATCGCTTCTTTTTCGTATTATTGACCTGATCAAGGATCTGCATCCTCTTCTCTGATAATAGCACTTTAGCCCCATTGCCTATGCAGGTGTGGAATGTGTGAGGTCCTCTAGCTGAATGGGTCTCTATTGTGCTCTCTTCCATTTCATATCCCTTTCTTTGCTTACTTTTAGGTCCTCTATATCCAGTCTATTTCAGAGTTTTAAGTCTACATGGATCCCAGGTGTTATTACTTACTCAATTAGAGCATAAACTCAGACCAGCAATTCCTAAGAGATCATTTTTGTTCACTGATTTAATGGAGATTTAACTGAGTTCCTCTTCACTCTTATATGAAAGCACTTAAAACACAGTAAACTTTTAGCAAAGTGTAGCAGCCTGAGTTCCTTGAACAGTTTGTTATTATCCCTAACTACTTAGTCAGTGGGCTTATAGGGGAGGTTGCTCTTGATTCTGCTTAATACCTCAACTCCAGGGCACAAGGTGGTGGTCTACAATTGTACCAGCTTCCACTTCAGAGCATTTAAATGAAGGGAAGGGATTAGAAATGGAATTTTAGTTGAAGAGTCATTGATTTAACACGTTAGAGTTGAAAGATTCAGCAGCATTCTAGTCTAGCAATAACAAATAGATGGCCTCTCTTGTGCTTACTCGAATTGGTTGATAGTGGCTGTCTGCATTTAATTAATCAATTAATTTTTTGAGAAGAATCTGAGGTCTTGGTACAACAGGAAAGATCAGCCTATGTCTGCAGCAGACAGAGGAGGGGAGAGCTCGAGCATGTATGCTAGGATGTTGTTACCAGTCCTCATCCTGCTGCCTTATCTTACAGATGAAGTTCAAGCCCAGCTAAGTGATTTGTTCATGTTTTCTCTTCCTACTCAGTGATGGAACCAGGACCCGAGTCCAGACCTCCTTACTTCTGGTCCATTGCTATTTCCGCTATACCCAGGTCTTTCATATTCCTATCTCCTTTTTTCCCTGGCTTAATTTTCACGTTTGGGAGAGCAGTGACTGGGGAAAATCAAAAGGAAAAAATGAAATCATTATACTTTTGTAGTCGCTTACATAGCCTTTGCCAAGTGGGAGTAACTCTTGAGCTGACCAAGGGGTATTCTGGGATGTAGAGGAAGTTCTCTCCCCTTTCTTGAGCCTTCTTTATACATTCCAGCTCAGCTCAGCTTTCACAGTGCTTCTAGACAATGCTTTATTTCCTACACACCCTTTTCCCCAACCACTTGGAATTAAAGCAAAGACTTTTTACTGTTAATACCTCTAACTCAATTCTTGATTGTTGATTAATGGGGAATTTTTTTTTTTTTTTTTTTAAATGTTTTGGACTTTTTTGAGGGGAAGGATCTATTGTGGGGGGGGCTGGTGGGAGGGGTCAAAGGGCTGGGAGCACAGTGAGATCCGACGTCCTTGGTCTGGCTGGGATCTCCCCAAATTAGAGGTCGCCGAAAGCTGACATTGATTTTAGGGGTTGGGATAGGTGAAGTTTTCTTTGTTTTTTTTGTTTTTTTTATGTGAGGAGGATCAGCCCTGAGCTAACATCTGCCAATCCTCTTTTTGCTGAGGAAGACTGGCCCTGGGCTAACATCCATGCCCATCTTCCTCCAGTTTATATGGGACGCCACCACAGCATGGCTTGACAAGCGGTGTGTCGGTGCGCGCCCAGGATCCGAACTGGCGAACCCTGGGCTGCCGCAGTGGAGCACGCGCACTTAACTGCTTGCGCCACCGGGCCGGCCCCGTGAATTTGTTTTTAAGTGTGGAAAAGAAAGAATGATTATGGAAAAAATTTTCAGAAGACAGCACTGTCCTCACAGGCTGTATATCAGTACTTAGATGTGTAGCAAATATTTATTGTCGTTAAAACTTTAATAGTTTTCCTAATTTGTTTCCCTGCTTTAAGGGGCCAGTATTCTATTCTCAGAACTGCAAAATAATGTCTGGTGCTGAGACTGCTTGCCCATTGGGGAAAATCATCCCTGAGAATGGAACTATTTTATTCACTCAGGAATATGTTCATTCCAGCCCTGAAAAGCCTAGTGTTCAAACTTGTTGTTTGAAGTGTCGTGAAATCCATGATCTATAATATAGGAAAGAGTGGTTAAATTTTTTTACACTGCGGAACTCCCATGAAAAATATCCTGTGTTCTCCACTTGGGAATGTTTTGAGAAATATCAGATTCCACCTCAGAATTAAACTTCTCCATTCTCTGGGCCAAAAAATAATCTCATGGTGTAGTGGCTAAGAGCATGGGCTTCAGGCTTACACAAACCTGAGTTTGAATGTTGGTTGTTACTTAACTAAACTGTGTAACCTTGGGCAGTTAATTCACCTCTCTGAACTTGTTTTTATCTTTAAAAAGAGCGTTAATGATGGAATTGTTATGAAGATTAAGTGATACACGCATGATGATAGACACAGACATGCCTGCCACGTAATAATGGATTCAGTAAATGTTCATTTATTCCCCTCTTCTCTCTCCCCTACTCCTGGCTCTAATTAAGCATATCCTCTATCCTCTCTGGGAACCAAAACCCCATAAATGTTTGGAAAATAGAATAAATAGAATAAATCTCTAATTGTTCTGAAAAAGGAGAAGGCATGCCTCTGGTGACCAGAGTTTAGAGTGATTTTTGAAAGCTGAAGAACAGGATAATTGTGGAGAAATAAAACTAGAAAAAAGTAGCCTACAGCACATGCAGGAATAAAGTCCTGTGGAGTAGGAGCTGTTATGAGTAGGTTCTTTGCCCACAATTAAAAAGGACACAGAGAAGTGGGGACCCAGGCATTTGTCTGGGTGGTAAGTTTGGGCTCATTCTGGAATAGCTAAGCTGGAGTTTCCCCTCTCATACTCCTACCCCACCAGTGCCTGCATCCATCAAGAAGTGGTGTTTCGTTCTACGCTGCGGCAGTGAGGATCAACTCTGGGGCTGGAACTTTTGATTATGTCCTAGGTGGTTAATGATTCCCAGGAGGAAGTGGGAGCTAAAGAGAAATGTGCTGGTCTTCAAATTAAAAAGGACCCTGGAAAGGTTTTCAGAACTCTGAAGAAAGACCTACACTTGTATCCAGGGTGGTGAAATTTCAGAATATTGAGAATATAAAAAGGAAAATCTAAGTTTCAGATCACTACTAGAGGTTCTAGCCAGAATAATAGGGCAAGAAATAGAAATAAAAGGCATACAGATTGGAAAGAAGCAAAACAGTCTCTATTTGTAGATGACGTACTTGCGTTATGTAGAAAATCCTGCAGAATCCACAACCACAAAAAAACTATTAGTAACGAAGTTAGCAAGATTACAGGCTACAACGTCAGTATGAAAAGTTATTGTATTTCTATATACTAGCAATGAACAATTATAAATAGAAATTTTAAAAAATGTGCTATCATTTATAATAGCATCAAAAAACATGAACTACTTAAGAATAAACTTAAAAATATATATATAAGACCTATACAATGAAAACTCCCAAGCACTGCTAAGAGAAAATGAAAAAAAAAAACCTAAATAAATGGAGAGAGAGACCATATGTGTGGATTGAAAGACTCTATTGGTGGCAGAACAGATGGCATTTCTTCGCAAATTGACCTATAGAGTCAGTGTAATACCACAACAAGCTTTCTTTTGCCAAAGCTTAAAAGAAAACAGACCACCTACAAGTGAATAAGAATCAGATTCTATCTGCAACACTGGGTGTTAGAATACAAGGGAGTAATAGCTGTTAAGGTCTGAGAGGAAAATGGTTTTAATCTAGCAATACTTGTTCTAAATAAATTACTCCAGGACACATTCTTAGGAAAATAAAAAATGAATCTAAGAAAATGGAAAGATATAAGAAATGGTGAATTAGAAAAAATAAAAATTATACTTAAGTCTAAAATATTAATTTGTGATATTAAATATTAACATCAGCTAAGAAATGTAGATAATCTCAAGTTGGGAGGTGGTGGGGCTATGGAGGAAGGAGGAGGAAGAATGTTATAGTTCTTATTTGGGGGAAAGATGTAGTACTCGCTACAGTGCCTGATATATAGTAGGCAGTAAATATTTGTTGAGTGAATATATTCTGATTAACTCCATGTTAATAGAAAGAAGAAGGTTTAAATGTATTAAAGTCTCTGGAAGAAGAGAAACAGGATATTATTAATCTTTCAAACCAGTCAAGTTAACAAACTTAGTGGAATACATGAACAAAGGAAACTCCATCAATCTAACAAAAGGTATTTTAGATGGTTTTTTTTTAACTTGAAAATAAAAGGTGAAAGTGACTTGCTTGTGTATAGAAGAATGACCTTCAGTAAAGTTCAGATAAACAAATCTTCCACATGACAGTGCTTGCCCTGCTGGGTCATTATGCCACTGGGCAAATGAAAGAAGAGTGTGATGTAGGTCTTGCCCACTGGAGAGCCAGAGTTGCTGGTGAACACACCTCACTTCGTGAGAGAGGAGCCCCACAAGGCCAGGTGTCTGGACTAACCTGCAGTGTTGTGTGTTTCTTGCAGATGTTCCCACAAGCCTGCACTTCCAGAGCATGCTGAAATCTCAGTGGCAAAACAAGCCTTTTGACAAAATCAAACCTCCCAAAAAGTTTTCACTTAAGCACAGAGCACCCATGCCAGGCAGTCTACCAGATCCAACTCGTAAAGACAGGCACAAGTTGGTCAACTCCTTCCTAACAACAGCCAGTAAGTTTCAGGGGACCAGGGAGTCCTCCAGTTATTTTCTGTTCCTTGTATATTCTCAAGTTATTGGTTTGCTGTGATAGTGTGTTGGGGTTGGGAGAGGCAATTAACTGATATAAATTCAGCTCACAGTCTGCTACTATTACTTGTCTTGGATGCTCTCAGATGGACTTTGAAAGATATTTGAGACACCATGGATCTTGGGGCAAGACCCAAAATGCTCAGTGAAGAGCCAGCAGTGGCATGGCATTGGATCCATCTGTGGGCAGGCTGTCTTCTGTAGCTTGGTGTCACATTTCTCTGGTTGAGGGCCCTGTGGGCTCCCTGTGCCTATCCTGGCCATTGTGCTATTTACTAGAAGCTTCAGTCCCAGAGGACTGTCCTGCTGTCCTGGGTGTCTATCATTGGCCTAGAGAGAACTCAAGAGCTGAGAATTCAAACAAGAAAAGATTGAGAGGAGATATTTCACAGCTCTTTTTCTGTTCCCCTCTTCAGAGCTGTCCCATCACCAAACCCGGCCTGACAGGACCCACAGGCAGCACTTAGACGATGTGGGGGCCGTACCTATGGTGGAGCGAGTGACAGCGCCAAAAGCAGAGCGCTTGCTCAACCCACCGCCACCCGTGCATGACCCAAACCACAGCAAAATGAGATTGCGAGACCATTCATCTGAGAGAAGTGAAGGTAGGGCCAGGCCCGGCACCTCTACTGCATTTGCACCTGCTCAGGGCTTTCTGGGGCAGCCTGGGCTTCTCTTAATTGCCCCCAGCTTTGTCCTTCACTCTCTAGGAAGGCAGAGTAGAGGGACCCTACTGCTTCTAAATTCAGGTCACTTCTTACTGCTACAGCAACCTCTGCCCAGTCCCCTATCTTCCATCAACCAGTTTCCTTCACCTTTTTATTCTCTAGGCTTAGAAACCATTTTTGCCTTCACTGTGTATTGCTGGCATTCCTAGCTTGTGCTAGAGGTAGAGCTGGCTGAGGTAGCCACATATTCCTCTTTTCTGTTGACTTCTGCAGTGTTGAAGCATCACACAGACATGAGCAGTTCGAGCTACTTGGCGGCCACCCACCATCCACCACACAGTCCCTTGGTGCGACAGCTCTCCACCTCATCAGACACCTCTGCACCCACCAGCTCTAGCCCACAGGTTACAGCCAGCACGTCTGTAAGTACCTGCATGGAGTTGGCCAGACAGCCCCTCTGCAGTCACAGTTGATTCAAGTGGCTCTGAAGGACAGTGTAGAGAGTGGGCTGTGAGGCCCAGGGCAGTTGTGGGACTCAACTCATCCTGATGTGTGTGTCATTTTTAAGTCAAAGTGATGGTGTTTGACCTTCTGTTGTTTTCCTTGAGTTGTTTTTACATAGTAGAGATGGATCTATGCTGAGCCATCCGTAGAAAGCTTGAGGCAGAGACAAACTCTTAAGGTGGTCTGTGACTGTTCAAGATCTGTGGGACTAAGTTTCACACAAGACTGCACAGTACCGTGGCTCTAACCCTGTTGGTCCAAGAGGAAACGTGAGAGGGAGTATAGAGGAGAGATACCTGCAGGCATTGGAGACATTTGATTTCCTTGTTTTTACTCTGCTGGTGAGTGGAGCTGGAGTGCTGAGAATAAACGCTGGGTGTTAGGGTACCTGGAAGGGATGGGAGAAGGCAGTGCTTATGCTTTTTAGGTGTACAGAGAAGCATTATAGATCCGGCAGTGCTTACATGTAGTACTCATAATGGCAGGCTGCTTGACCCCTCCCCCCATTACCTTTAGAGTACCATACTCCATCCAGAAAGCTGTTTGCACAGCCATTTCCCATTTGCACGGACACATTTTCCTGTTAATTTCATTCTAATGTTTTAATTTCTCAAGGTGTGCCTCCTTGAACACAAATACCTATAGCTGCTTTGTGTTCACTAAAGGGTCCTTTATATAGTAAATAGTAATGGTGATAGTAATAATAAAGTGCTGCAGCTGTAATGTTTATTGTGTCAGTGCTAAGCGCTTTACGTGTGTTCTCTCATTCAGTCTTGTAATGCCCTTTAAGCTGTAGGTGGCATTTAAGGAATCCCATTTTGTAGCCAGGGAAACTGAGGCTTTCCAAGGTTAAGTAAACTGCATGAGGCGAGGCACCTTGTGAGGGTTAGTTATAATTGTGATTCAAACCCATGCAGTCTGACCGCAGAGCCAGCTCTTACCACTACACTACACAGTGTAAGCCTGGAGTGGGGCACTGCAGAGGCGACTTCTGCCCTTTCAGAGCTTATTACATCAGGAAACTTCTGAGCCCACAAAATGTGCTCACTAGGCTCTCGTGAGCAGGTAGGAATTCATAGTTTTCTGTCTTTGCTCTTAAAAATCAGACAGTCTTTTCCGAATGACCTCTTTGTTCCTCCTCCTTCACTTCCCACACCCACAAATTTTGTCTAAGTAGGTGTATAGTATCTATCAGAAACTCAGTTATCCATCAGCAAAGGGTCTTGGTAACCAAAAGATTTCAAAGAGAGTCTAATAATGATAGAAAAATCTGAACTCAGAGGTCTAAGACTTGGTGAAATTTCAGTATTTTCTTACTTGCCAGCCCTCTTGTGTCTGGAGATTGTTAACTTAAGCCTGGATCATTTGAAATTTTTGCTTATTGTTTATTGGGTACAAATTTTGTATATAACACTAATGCTGACCCTTAAGGCTCTTGCTGCCAAATTTTTTCAAAGACTCTGGATTTATTAATAGTAAGAAGGGTGATAAGCCAAATACTTAAAATAAGGTAGAGAAGCTAGAGGACACTGGAGAAATTTGGGGTGGGGGGGCAGGTAGCGGGGTGGAGCAATGGTCCATGTAGAGCAACACTTTGTGAAAGCCAGTGGATGCATCAGAATCACTTCAGTGGCTTTAAAAAGATTCAGATTTGATGGTCAGAAGAGGAGGGACCCCAGATCCTTTTTTCTTTTAAACACACTCCTCATCTTGCTTCTGATGTGCAAACAGGTTTGGGAACCACTTTCCATTTCTGTCACCTGCTCTCCACCTCTGGCTCTAAACAGGAGACAGTGGTGAAGTTAGGTCGAATTAACACCTAATGGAATAGGGGAACTTGAGCCTATTGAACAATCCCACAACCTGCTCCTGTCTCTTTCCCTTGAAGGTACTAACAGCAGGCCCAAGAAGATTCAGGGAAAATACATACCTGTTTCTGCTAGCAGTTTCACATTCGTTCTTAACCAGGATATAGGGAAAGCTATCTCTTGAGCCTTCCTTAAGGTGTACTTCTTACAATGGGACATATAATTTCAGTAGAGATGTGACAGTGGCAGAGGCCTTTGGATATAAGGTCACTAATCCTCAGCTGCAGAACTCAGCAAGGCAAGATTTGCAAAAGTCTCTTCAACCATTTTGGTTAACAATTACCCTAAATTTGTGAGGTCAATGACAGTCTATTCTCATTTGATAGAGAAGGAAATTAAGGTAAAAAAGATATTGTGATAACCTGAAATCATAGGTGACAGCAGCTAAAATCCTGGCCCAAGAAGCACTGCTTTTTAACATTCTCTGAGAATGTCCTGAAATGATAGGATGAATCAATCATATATCACCCTCCAGGAACAGAGTAGAGTGGTTAGTTGTAGGGAACAATCTCTTCCTCATCCTCCTTCACTAACCCCATCCCTCTGGGCCAACTACACTTGGTGGTTTGGGTTTGAATACAGCCTCTTAGGTGTTTCCAGCTGTCGCCATGGCAGCATGTTTGTCATCCCACTGTTTCCCTCTGCCCTCTCACAGCTCAACTGCCAGTCTCTGTTTCAGGGTAGGGTGTTTGCTATCTGGGCATAAGCAGCTAGTAGACTTTTTCTCCCATCTAAGAAACCAAGCCCTTTGGCTCCCTGCTTTATTCCTTCTTTGATCTCCTAGCTGCTGTAGATGCCCTCCTCCTCCTCTGATATTGGATCCTTGTTAGTCTTCTTTCCCAAGAGTTTCATCTTCTCAACTTTCTACAGAAATGAATCTCCTTTCTCTGGGAGTGGGAACTATGTCCTCTTCTTCAGTATCCCTCTACTCATCTTCGTTGATACAACTAGGAAGCACTCAGCTCTTTCCCCAAGAATAATAGCCAGAAAGAGGAGAAATCACATAAGCGCTGAGCAGATGGTGGGTACAGATTTAGCTGAAGAGTTCGGATCTGTGAGAACGAGGTGCTTTCAGGACAACCAAGGTTAGATGAACTATTGAGCTGGGCCTATCCTTTGGGCATCTCTCAGGATAAGAGAATTCATCTTTTTAACCCAGAGTCACTACAAGGCATAAGCATTGCTTTTAGGAGCCACTACAGGTCTAAGTCACAGACAGGGATAAAAGGGGGAAGAAACATACAGGAGGATTTAGAAGCGGGGAGAGGGTAGTAAAGGTGTGTGGAAGGAGTAGGAACCACAGTTGACTCAAGGTTCCAGGTTACCCACTCCTATGAAGTTCAACAAAAGTCTCTTTTCACGTGAGCCCATGAAGGAAGAGGGTGTCCAGTGAGACTGGTGAATGGGAGATATTCCTTGGGACCACTTAGGATTTCTCCTGAGGACTTTGTTGTGGGAAACCATCTCAGGTGCAGGCAGCTGCTGCAGTTGTTGCCCAGCCCCCACCCAAGGACCCAGATGCCTGGTTATTGGTGATCCCGTTTTAAGTCTCAGGAGTATGTTTGATATTTGTAGAATTGTATCTCCTTTCTAAATTTACCTTTGTCTTACAGCAGCCAGTAAGGAGGAGAAGGGGAGAGAGCTCATTCGATATTAACAACATTGTCATCCCAATGTCTGTTGCTGCAACAACCCGTGTAGAGAAGCTACAATACAAGGAAATCCTTACTCCCAGGTAGAAGCTCTAGATAATTGGCTCCTCTCCCCCATTCTTCCTGTTACTGTTCTTTTTCCCTCTTTTCTTGTCACTGAGTTTTGGACCCTAGCCTTGGGTTTTGTCTTCTCTTTAAGAGAAAGTCTTACCTGATAGAAATTAAAATTTTCTATATATAGTTCTCTTTCATTCCATTGTGTGAGCACCAGCCAGACCACATGCCACACAAACTGGCAGGCCAGTGGCCATTTCTGGTCTATAGACATGTTGGTTTGACACATAAAATGTGTTTTAAGATACTGAATTTGTTGTTAGCATCAAAGCAGGATTTCACATATGAATCTTTAGTTCCAGCTTTTGTTGACAAATAGAAGATGGGGCAACCCTGTACATGCATTCCCATATGGTCGCAATCAGCTAGTGCTGAACAGTAGTGGTCCCCTTTAAACAGGTTCCTTTGCTTGAGTTTGTCACAGTCTCCCAGCTCCAGTCCCACCCTCATCCTGCTTCACCTGTTTCTGGCCCTGGTGGGCATTTGAGTGTGGAGCCTCTTTTAGAGGCCTCCAGTGCTAAGGTGGTCAAGCTGTGAGAGGGCAGAGCCTGCCTAGCAGAGAGCAGTGTCACTCACAGGCGCAGGGCTCTTGTTCTTGCATGGACGCATTTATCCTGCCCCAGGCTGCCTGCCATTTCATGATTGTCCCTTCTTGGTTTTGCAGCTGGCGGGAGGTCGATCTTCGGTCTCTGAAGGGGAGTCCTGACGAGGAGAACGAGGAGGTAACAGCATGGTCATTTTCTCTTAGAAGAACACAAACACACATGAGTGTGCACACTCCAGATGCCTCAAGGCCTGTGGGTGTCAAATGCAAGCTCGTTGCGTTTCTGTCCTGACCAGAAAGAGCCTCGTATGGGATGGGGCTGGTTCTAGAATTCATCTAACCATCATTAAACGCGGCCTCTTGGAGGAAAGAGGGGGTATCAATGAAGCTGCTCTATTGCAGATCGAGGACCTATCTGATGCAGCCTTCGCCGCCCTGCATGCCAAATGCGAGGAGATGGAGAGGGCTCGGTGGCTGTGGACCACAAGTGTGCCACCCCAGCGGCGGGGCAGCAGGTGATGGGGCAGGCACCGGTCCCCAGGACCTGTGGAGGGAGGGTGGACAGGGAGTATGGGCCCTAACTGTGTCCATGGCGTTGCCAGTGCCTCCCCGTTGCCCTTCATATTCATCACTGGCACTGGCCAAGAATGCAGAAGTTTCTTGGTGTTGGTTGGAACTAATGAGAATATACACAGTCAGATGCTGGGTCCTTGCTGAGTGCTGACTGTCCAATTCTGACAAACTCTAGTGATCTCCTGGGCTCCAGGAGCAGGCTCTCTTTGGTATGTGGAGGCCAGTTGGGGGTTGTGGTGATTTAACCAGAGGACCTTTGGAGGCCTCACCACATCTTAACCTTCCTTTGGATAGTGGAGTGGAGTGTTGTGGTCTTGCTTGAAAGAGTTGTCCCACCCTGTCTCCATTTATTGTAAGCAGTGGCAGAAGCCCTCATGATTCTCAAGTGGAAAGATTTAGGACTCTTGTTTTTGCTTTTTTCTTTGACTACAGTTTTCAGAGTTTGGACTAATTCCCCTTCCTCTGTGAATTCACTGGGCACTGTGCCAGGAATAGCCCATGGCATTGTTCAGCCATGGCTTTCTCCTGCGGTGATAAGGTGTACACAATTCTCAGATATTGTGTACTTACCCCTGTACACAGCGGTGGGAGGAAATGGGATTTGTGGTTCCTAGGAAAGAACTGTTGGTGTCAGTCTACCTTGGCTCCTCTGATTGGGATGCTTTCTTCATGCCTCCTCCCCAACCCTCAAAAATACTCAGGAAACTCCCTGTTACCCAGGCACTCAGATTTGTACTTCTTGGCATACAGGTCTTACAGGTCATCAGACGGCCGGACAACCCCCCAGTTGGGCAGTGCCAATCCTTCCACCCCACAGCCTGCCTCCCCTGATGTCAGTAGTAGCCACTCTTTGTCGGAGTTCTCCCACGGTCAGTCTCCTAGGAGCCCCATTAGCCCAGAACTGCACTCGGCCCCCCTCACCCCTGTGGCTCGGGACACTCTACGACACCTAGCCAGTGAAGACACCCGTTGTTCCACACCAGAGCTGGGGCTGGATGAACAGGTGAGGGGTGTGCTGCCTTTTCGTTCGGTTGGTGGGTAGGGGATGGAATTGGACATGGACAGCACCTGCTGCAGATGGATCTTCATCTTAGGATCCCCCTCCCCATTTTGAAGGGGACGAGGGGCTATAGTTAACATTGACCTTCTGAAGGTACCACGGAACTGGCCGTTGTTAAAAGGGTGCCCTCTCTGTGAGGGGTCTTCCCAGCCACCCCCCTGGAACTCTAGAGAGACTGGTCATGGACTGTAGTCCACATGTTTTGGGGCGCAGGGCCTTGGGGAGGAGGCAGGCAGGGTGGGACTGGATCCTCACCAAGGCAACTTGTCTGCCCACAGTCCGTGCAGCCATGGGAGCGGCGAACCTTCCCCCTGGCGTACAGTCCCCAGGCAGAGTGTGAGGACCAACTGGATGCGCAGGAACGGGCAGCTCGCTGCACTCGGCGCACCTCAGGCAGCAAGACTGGCCGGGAGACAGAGGTGGCACCCACCTCACCTCCCGTTGTCCCTCTCAAGAGTCGGCATCTGGCGGCAACAGTCACAGCTCAGCGTCCAACTCACAGATGAGCGGGATATGAGAATCTAAACAGACTCACTAACTATTGGCATTAAAGCTTCAGAAATCTCTGCGTTTGATATTCAAACATCATATGCCGGAAATTTTCACAGTTTTTAGTGAATTTAAGGAATTTAGATTCTACTTTGGTATTTTTTTTTTTCTTGTTTTGATTTTGTTGTTTCTGTTTTGGTTTCCATGTTTTGTTGTCACACACCTGAGCACTTCCTCCAGTTGGCTAACAGAAGTTCAGGATAAGCCCTTGCTGGCCTGGTCCTGACACATCCTCTGCACTGTTGAATCACTGGACTTAGCATTGTTAGACGATCACCCCTCTCCCTCACACCTGTAGGCAGGTAGAGTGGAAAGCTCCAGCTCAGTGTTGCCCCCTTAGGTTATGGTGGGAGAGGGCGGCACTCTCTGGGCTCTCATCCCCCTTCCCCTCCCATCTGTGGCTCAGCTCTGGCCCTCCTGGCTGGGTCCCCCTTGCTTGTCTGTGCTGGAGCAGACAGACTCCCGCCAGAGCCTCTTGGCCATACTGCCAGCTGTTCTCACCGAGCTCTCAGCTGACAGAATGGCTTCCCCTTGTCATCCAGATCTTGGAGACCTATTTTGGGTTTCCTCTGCATTTGGTCATCTCTGTTTTGACTTCTTAACTGCAATAACCTGGCTGTGGCTGCTCACATCCCCATCCTGCCCCTTCATGCCCTCTCATCTGCTCCCCACGTCATCCACACCCCACACACACACCAGTCCTTCCACTTGGACCATTTTTACCACCTGTCCTGGTCTAGGAAGGTAGGGTTAGGATTACTTAACCTCTGTTCCCACTCTTCTGCAAATTAGGGGCTTGGGGAAGTGAGCAGCCATCTCCCCTGCCTCATCTGTTTTCACTGACTGACTGATTTAGTCACGTTTCCTTCCCATCCAGCTCCCTGTCACTGTCAGTTCGGCCCTTCCTCTTTCAAGCTCCCCTTGCCTGTGGAATACCGTCTGGTCCTAGCTGTGGTTCCCGTCACTCCCCCATCGGTTAACCTTGTGCCTGTCTCATGTATGATCACATCACCAAAAAGGGGGGCAATAAGGACTTCCTTATTTTATTTTATTTTATTGCCATTTTGTAATCGTATAAAAATAGTAGACAAACTGCTTAATGGTTGGGGTTTTTTCACAATTTTCAACATTAGTGATTTTTTTTTGATTCTGTTTGCAAGTTAAAGGGTTTGTCATTGTTTCTTTAAAAAACAATAATGCACCATATCCCTATGCATAAAGTGCTTCTTCTATTTATAAGGTTGAAAATTCTGAATAACCCTTTTAGCATTGTAAAAAAAAACAAAAAACAAAAATTCAAAAAAAAAACCTTGTATTTTGTAAATATTTTCTTTTCCTGCTTTGAGCTGTGTATTGGCAGCGAAACATGTAGCTGTCTTTGTTCTATAGAAATGCTTTTCTTCAGAGAAGCTGATCTTTGTTAATGTCTTGATTCTGTTCGCAAAGCACAAATAGTGCTTTAAAAAAAAGGAAGGAAAAATTGAAAAAAATAATAAAAAAAAAGTTACAGAATGTTGTGTGCCAGGCCTTTCTTGACATTGGACGTGGTAATGGTGGCAGCTTAGGAGCCAGCCCTGTGGAACCTGTGGAAGTCTCCAGTCTGTCTTCTGGGCACCTGGCAGTGTCATCTGATGGTCAGCAGAGAGAGGATGTGGTTTTCACAGGTTGGGGAAGTAAGGAGTACCAGGAGGAGGGAGGGTCTGCATAGATCGTCTACTTTTTCTTTTTGCTGGATGTAAGTAATTGATCCTTTTTCTAGTGAGGCCAGCAGTATGACATTTTGTATCTATTCTAAATTGCTCTTTAATAGAAATTTCACTTCCCACCATTGACCCTTTCTGGGGTTGGGATCAACGAGAATGTATATACTTTGCATGCAGCCTGATCTGGTCCTTGCCTGCTACCTGAGATTAGAGCATCTCTCTTCGAAGGAGGCTAAGTGCTTGATTTTCTTCGTCCAAGATGAAGAACGGGGCGGGCCTGGTTCTCTCTCTACTCTCTCCTTTTTCCAGTGATCTAGTAAAAACAGCCAACCATGCTGCCTATCCTGTCAGAAAACCATGGGTTCTGAGGCAGCATTTCTCTTTGGCTGTCCAGTTGCTGCTTCTACAGTTGCAGTTAAGATCTGCTCTACTTAAGCTTCTGTCTGTACTGGCTAATGTACACCAGGAAAAGCTGAGTAAAGTGATATGTTGAAACTGTGTGAAAATCTAAGGGTTCAATATTATGACCTTGACCTAATTTTACTAAGGAACAACAATATGATGGGTTACTGTTTGGCTTTTGTTTTCCTTTGTGGCACTGGAGGGGCCTGCTGGTATCCACTTCTTGATTGAGCAGACATTCCCCAATCTGTAATGGGGCTCCGAAGGAGAGGAGGGCAGCTTGTAAGCTTGGAAGGAAGCGAAGCCATTCATTTAGCCGATTGGCCTAGTGTTCTGCTTCAGCCTCAGACCTCTAGGCTCACTTCCAGGGACAAAAAGATCTCCCACCCCAGCCTTCTGAGGTTTGAATACACTGGTACAGGCTTTCCAAACTCGGTGGAACCTTGTGAGCTCAACCACAAGGGTATTGCCTTTTGAGCTGGACAGAATGATTTGTCAGCACCAGAATGAGAGAAATCAACTGAAAATGAACAAGTCTAAGAACTCTTCTTTCAAACCTTCAGGGCTCCAGAGAGAGCTGGTAAATCCTGATGTCCAGGTTGTAACAACACTGTCATTACCTCTTTTGAGCTAAGTTTCTAAGGCTGGGAAAGGACTTGCAAATCATACATCCTATATCGTTTTCTGGTCCTTGGAATCCATGCACAGAGACCTTATTTAATCAGAGTAATAACTTTATTTCCAAATTCACTTTTACAGGAACAGTCAGTGTAAATCATTTGTTAAAACACACAATACACCATATGGACATTCACAGATAGGAAGCTAAGCTAAGATGGTTTCATGTCCCTCCCCCCACCCTCAAAATTACCAAAGAAATCATGGGATTTGCAAGTGCCAGAAATTGTCCTGCCCAACACTGCAAATTCATGGGGCTAAGTCCATCAGGAGGTGAGACTGGGTCAGTGCCCAGGGTAACCCTTTTCCAAGCTGAAGAGAAACCAGAAGTCTCATGAAGCCACAGATCTGCAGAGGAGGCAGGCTGATAATCTCCACCTCTGCCCTTGTCCCCACCTCTTGGCTTTACTTGGGGAACAAAGATAAAGGAGGGTGAAGGGCGAGATCTTGGCAGCTGCTAGAAGTATGGGCTGCATGTCTGGAGCTGGTGGGAAGAGTGACACGGAGGTGCCAACAGCTTAGAGGAGATGCCAGGGTCTTAGGGAGTCGTGATTCTGGGCTTGGGACCCTGCAAGAAGGCGGCAGGCCAGAGCACTGCAGCTCCGGATTCCTCCACAAGCCTCATTGCCTGCATCTGGCTGGGGAGGAGATGGGAGCTAGCTGGCAGCCTGCTGCTCTCTTGGGAACGTGTCAGTGAAAAGGCGAAACCCCAAGGACCTCTAGCATGTGTGGCTGAAATCATGAAGAAAAGGGTTACAAGGCGATTTAACTGCTGCCCTCTAAGACTCCCTTTGCCCACGGTAACTATCTTACAGGTTCCTCCCCCCTCCCCCCATAGCACAACAAGCAATCGCAAATCACCATTGACGTCAGTTTAAATAGAACTATTGATAAAGTGAGTGGAGAGCTTGAAGGGACCAGGTGTATAGCAAATCCTATCTAGCCCACCCAAGGGACATTGACTCTGGAGGTGGGGGAGTGCCCAGCCCTGGGGGGATTGTCCTTATTTAAGGTCACAAGCCAGCATTCCTTTGCAATCTTCCTGCCAGCACTGGGCTGATCACCCTAAACCATGATCTTTAGCCTCACCCAATAGCCCACCATGCAAGGGAGATTCCAGAGCCCTTGGAATAAGGTGCTGAAGAGCAGGGCACAAGAACTGCAGGAAGAGGAAGCCAGCAGAGGTGCAGAAAGAGATGCAACCAAAATCAGTGGCAGTGATAAGGGGCCACATCTCTAAAAGCTACTGACTCTAAACCACATTGCCTTTTTCTTCCTCAGAACCCTCCTAAGAGCAGCTGGATCACAAAAGACAGTGGAGAGCCTCATGGTGGAAAGTTCTGGGCCCAGATAATTCCTTTCACGGAGCGCTCTGGCTGCAAATGAGGCCTACAGCCCTAGAGGGGAGCCCCTGGACTCCTTCCACCCAGCGCCCCAGGGTTGCCTTGAACTGTACCCAAACTGGAAGTGGCAGCGCTGGGCCTGAGGTTGCTGCATTTCTTTAAACAGCAATTTTCTACTTGTGCAAGGTCAGCAAGGGCTCGGGCCAAAGCTTTGGGAATGGTGACTCCTGACTTGTCACCCTTCCTCAGTCAGGAAACCCCTTTGGGCCCTGGGTGGGGAGGCCTGGGCTGCCCCTCCTGAGGAAGAGCTTTAAGAGGGACCCCAGGCTGAAGGATGGGCTGCAGACCTTTCCCCAGCTGGCGCTGGCTTCATTCTTCTCGTGATGCAGGGAGTTGTAAGACCCCTCTCTCAGGGCTGCTGTGGGGCTTCTCCAGGCTGTGACCAGAGAGGGTCATCTTCAAGCTGCCAACCAGGCCAGCCACAAGACACACTGCTCGCTGCCCTGACAAAGGGAAGCCCTGGGGGCCAGGGAGGGGGCACCATAGCTTCCGTCCTAGTCCTGTGCTTCAGGCCTTCTTCACAGCAGAGGGTTCTCGAGTGTCAAGATCTGGTCTCTGTTGGGTCCCAGACGCTGATAAAAGCCTCTCGAAAATTAGGAGGCCCCAACAGGGTAGAGCCACACCAGCCTCCTGGAGCCAAGTCCCAGCATGGGGGATGAGAGACCTCTAGGACCCCTATGAGGATGGGTCAGAAACCTCTTTACAAGCATTTCAAGATACATGCGTCCTTTTTTTTTTTTCTTTTCACTATCATAGTCACTCTGGTGAATCCAGGCATAAACAGACAAATCCGACTACAACGCGACAGGGTGCAGATGGGGAGGGAAGGGCGACATCTATGGATATGTTCAGCTGCTCCAGCAGGACAGACAGCAGTGCTTCCAGCTGGGACTGGGGAAGAACCATTTGCAAGGGGACATGTTCCCTTTTGGGGTGTGGAGGGCTGATTATATGTACTTGGGGTTGAGCAGCGGTTGGGCTCTCCGAGAGGCTGGCAGTTACAAGCTGGGGCAGAAGTGGGGACAGAGGGAGTGTGATCCTGCCCTGGGGGCCTTGCCTGCCCATCCCAGGGCCATCTCTGGCAACCAGGACAGCCAACCTGCTGCCAGCTCAACACAGGCAGGGGACCAGGCCTTCTGGGAGGAAAAGTCTCTCCAAGTCAACGAGGCGGAAACATCTCAGGTCATCGCTGAGCCCCACCCTGGCTCACATCTGTGCTGGGAGGTGGGGGGCAGGGAACCAAGTAAAGTCATCAGGTTCATTGTGGGGGACACGCCAGTTGGATGAGTGTAACTTAGACCAAGAGACTGAGGTCCCACCTCGTGCCTGGGCTTTGCCTTCCTTGATTCCCCCCCGCCTTGGTTTAGAGTTGGTGCCGCCTGAGTCCAAACAAGGTCTGTAACCGAGAAGAGGGGTGGTGAGGCTAGGAACTCAGGACAGTGTGACATAATGAGGGTACAGGCAGTGACTGGGCTCTGCACGGCAGACACAGGCATGGCAGGGGCAGACAGGTGGCTGCAGTGGCCATGGGAGGGATGGGAGGCTCGGGACCCACCTCCCAGACCCCAGCACACTCCGGAGATGGCCAAGGCCCCGGCTGGGAACAGGCGGATGTCCCCCAAGAGGCACAAGTCCTTACAAAGAGAACTGGTTAGCCCTAAGTCCCAGATCTGTGAGGTGGCCAAAATCGTGGCTGCAGCTCCAACCTAAAGAACTCGATAAAATAGTGTTTCCGTGGGGCGGAGGGAAGCCCCTCAGCTCAGGACCCCCACCCTGCAGGGAGGGAGGAAGAAGCCAGCACTCGGCACAGCAAGGTCAGGCTTCTCAGGAAGCAGTCCACATGGTGCCACCCTCCCGACAACCGTCCCTCTCCTCCTGCCACTTTTCCTTCACGGAATGGGAGGGACTGGAGCTCTTCTCCTATAGGCTGCCCTCCAGAGGGTGGCACACTGACCCGCAGCAGATCCCAGGCCACCAAGCGCAGGAGGCTGCTTGGTCTAAGTTTGCTGCAGGCTCAGCGGAGGCTGCTTGCCCTTCCTACTGTCCTTCCAGGCAGGGAGCTGCGCCTCCCCTCCCAGGGTCCTTACTCTCACGCCCTCTCCCTTCTCCCCACCCCCGCTGTCCCCCTGCCCAGCCCCGCCTCAGCCTCTCCTGTGTCTCCCCACCCCTGCCCCGTCCCACTCACTCAAGGTTGACATCTGCCTATGGCTCCACGAACACACCAAGCTTCAAATCCCTTGTGGCTGCCGCTGCCTCTGTGACACCCCCAGGATGGGACCAGAGGTGGGGCGCCCCTAGTCCCCTGAGATCCCCCAGAAGCAGCTTTCAGAGCCTCTCCTTCATCCTCTTCTACTCAGAGGGAGGAAAAAAAAAGAATCAAAAGTAATTGCCCAAGGAAAGGTTGGGGGTGGCCATCTTTTTAAATGTTTTAAAAAATATTTTATTATTAGCCCACCCACCCATCAATTTGGAAAGATGAAATTTGCTCTTATTCCCGTCACTGATTTTGAAGTCCCGAGCCAGAGCCGAGCGACAAAAGCAGGTTAAGTGATTAACCGATTAACCGATCTGTGAGGAGCAGCTGGGGGAAGACAGAGGGCGAAGGGCTGGATCATTATTCTTTTTTTTTCCACACTCTCTCACTCTCTTCTCTCCACGATTACTGACCGCCCCGGGGGCCTGATCACAAACCCTGCTTGGCCAGGGAAGCGGACACTTCGTCAGCTAGCGTGGCGAGCTGGGGGGAGTCTACCATGTCGATGCTGCCTGTGGAGGAGACGTTGCTGAGGTGCCGCGGAGACGTGTCCCCGGACACCACGGGCGACTTGTACACGATCTCCGCCCCGTGGTCTGTCTTGGCTTTGGCATTCTCACGGAAGGTCAGCTTGTGGGTTTCGATCTGCAGAAGAGGAGGGGAGGGAGGGAGAGATGAAGAGCAGAGAAAGCGGGGCAAGCCCCACCAACTAAGTGGCCTCGGGTGGGAGGGAGCTGGGGTGGTGGTGACTATGGTTTTTATCGTTTTCCAATAGCAAATACTTTTGAAGGGTCCTTCTGTCACCTGCCACCAAGCCACCGAGTTCCTCTCCCCAGAGGCAGTGATCGTTGTAAGTTTCTTATGTGCCGTACCAGAGCCATTCCACACCTGCAAACATGTGTAGGTGTGAGTATATTAAAAAAATATATATTTTTGTATATATAATAACAATATCCCCATGCTTTGCACTTTGGTTTTTAGACTTAATATCTTCCGTGGTCAGTACCTAGTTCGCTCATGCTTGCTCTTGGCTGCGTGGTAGTCCTTCACAGCAGATGTACCAAAATGTATTCACTCCCCTATGGATGGGTATTTCAGTTGTCCCAGTCTTGCGGTCACAAACAATGCTGTGTCCGAATAACCTTGAATAACGTTGTACGCACATCATTTCACACACGTGTATGTGTATCCTAGAAGTGGAACTGCTAGTAGGTCAAAAGGCAGGCACATTTTATTTTGATAGATATTGCCAAATTGCTAACGAAAGTGTTAAAAGAGAAGCTGGAGAAGGCTAAGGGACGTCCCCAGAGGCACTGCTGCCCAGCCACGAGCCACACATTCCTCCCCTTGGCCAGTGACTGATGGGTCTGAGGGTGCCAGCAGCTGTGGGCAGCCCTGGTGGGTGTGCTAGAAAACAAGGCCTTTTCACAGTAGAAAAATGACGACACAGCCAGGGTCCCAGAGATCTTAGCTCCAAAGGACACCCGTGAGACTCATGAAGCATTAGCTAGAGATTTGAGGAGCACCTAATTCTTTCCTGATGAGCCCTGAAGTGGTGGACAGAGCAATTCTCAACCTTTTGTGGGTCCTAAGACATCTTTGAGCATCTGGTGAAACCAGAAAAATGTGTACACATGCATGCATGCCCTCACACATGTCACGGTTTGTCTGTACAATGTCAGGAGTTCATGGACCCCTGCTGAGGCGCCCCTATTGCAGGGGCTTGAATATGAGTGTAGAGAAAAACTGGGCTCCCACTTAAGCTATTTGCTTATTTTGTTCATTTTGGGTTACTGCTTTGAAGTAAGGCCCTTTCCATATTACAGTATTTGAAAGGCCATTTTGACATAAGCTTTGATAAGAACATTTATGTTAACGTTTTTTAAAAGCTTAAAAACCTGGGGGGTCCTGGGAATGTCCCCAAATCCCCCACACTACAATGAACTCAGGTGGCGGGGATCCTGTGCTCCACTACTTGTTAGCAGTCTTGCTCATCACTCGAGGAAATAGGGAACTGGATACAAGGGGATCTGCTGGGACCAGGACAGTGTCTTCAGAGTGGTGGGCAGGGCAGGGCCCCCACTTCTGGGGCCATCACAGAGATGAGTTCAAACAGAAGTTCAGACTTAGACTTGACTCTAACTCACGTTCTTAGACGACTACAAAGTACCAGGAACCTTCCAGAACACTGTCTCGTTTGGGTCTCATGACCACCCTGGGATGTGGATATTTCTATCCGTTTTGCTGAAGGAGAAACTTTTTATTTATTTATTTACTTTTTGTGAGGAAGATCAGCCCTGAGCTAACATCCGTGCTAATCCTCCTCTTTATGCTGAGGAAGACCGGCTCTGAGCTAACATCTATTGCCAATCCTGCTCTTTTTTTCCCCCAAAGCCCCAGTAGATAGTTGTATGTCATAGTTGCACATCCTTCTAGTTGCTGTATGTGGGACGCGGCCTCAGCATGGCCGGAGAAGCAGTGCGTCGGTCCACGCCTGGGATCCGAACCCGGGCTGCCAGTAGCGGAGCGTGCGCACTTAACTGCTAAGCCACGGGGCCGGCCCTGAAGGAGAAACTGAGGCTGAGATTGCTTGTCAATCTTGCTCAGGTCACACCTTCAAGCGGAGCCAAGCCCAGAGATTTTCTCAGGACATAGAAGCTTCCAGAGACAGGGGCAGAGACCTTCCTTCACCCAGGGAGTCACCAACGCCCAGGCCCTATGCAGTCTTATTCCATCAGACTCTGTGGGCGGAACATGGGTGTCTTTAAATCTCCCCCGGGGAAGGCGGGCCCCGCGTTAAGCCAGGGCACGGAGGGGTGATGGGAACAAGCAGAGCTGCTGGGCTTTTGCAGAGAATCTTCTCCACTTCCCCAGAGACCTGGGCCCTGCTCCCACTTCCCAAAACTACACCATCAGGTTTTCACCGCAAATGCAAGATGGGGTGTGTCTGTTCAGAGCCAGAGGGGAGGCGGTGAGCAGAGTGTGGTGGCAAGACGGCTGGCTGCCAGCCGCTCCAGCTGGGCCACGGGGCAGCGCGCTCTCGCACGCTGGGGTGGGTCTCAGATTCTAGGCCGTTCTGGGACATCCCTTCTCCCTCTGCCACTCCTCAGTCAGCCACTGGGAGGCACTAAAGACTGGGAAGGGAGACACGTCCCGAGCTGCAGGGCACGCGTGGGGGGAACCCCAGAGAGCGCCTTGGCTGCATTTATGCGGCAGAGGAAAAAGTGCAGCCATGAGACCACATCCTGCGAGGGCCCGGAGGGAGCTTGCTCAGGGCCACACACAGCCTGGCGTCCCCATCCCCTGTGCTCCCACAGACGGAGACCCGCACTAAGACCCGGAGCCTCCAGACACCGCGGGAGCGCCGAGGCCCTCAGTCCAGCAGCCTCCGTGGACACTCCCACCACAGGCGGGCAGAGGCTCTGCTGAAATGTGGGCGTCAGCATCCTTGTTTGGCTCTAACTGCCTGGTGACCCATTTAGAAAACAAGGCTACGTTCCCAGGACTTGTTCTTGGTGCGCTGGGGCTGGCTTCAGTGATGGCCACTTCCTTCTGTGGACGCTGGCCAACCACAGGGCCTGGGACAGTGGCTCTCATCTTTGGCTGCACTGAAGAATCACCTGGGGGCTTTAAAAACACCAGGTGTCCAGGCTGCACCTGAGACCGCTTAATCAGCATCTCCAGGGTGGGGCCCAGGCGCACATCAAAGCTCCCGGGAGACTGCAGCGGGCAGCTGAGGGGGTGCCCCCTGTGCTGGTGGTCGCTGACAATGCACAGCAAGCCAGTCAACACAGGATCCACAGCTTTCCTCCGGCCTTGTCCACCCGACTCGATGCACAGCCTCCTCCCGCCCTGTCCCCTTACCTTTTTATGCCCTCCGCCAGGGACGTGGGTGATGTTATCCAGGGACCCGATCTTCGACTGGACTCTATCCTTGAAGTCCAACTTCTCAGATTTTACTTCCACCTGGCCACCTCCTGGAACACAACACACACAAGAGCGCCGCACCTTGAACGAGGGCCAAGCAATGACTCCAAGCAGACGTCAACCTTTAGGAGCAGATAAGACTATCCTTTATTTAGAATGTGGTTTGGGCACAAGTAAGTCCCTCCAAAGGGCTTGAAAACAGTTCGCTTCATCTCTCTAATCAGGATGGGCATCAAATATTTACTCAGCAGACTCTTCCTCCTTAGCAAATGCAAAGGTAGATGACAGCTCAGTGCAGGAGCAATTATTCTACATTCTAAATTGGTTGGCTTCCAAAGAATGACTTCCTTCTATGTCAACATCCTGTAAGCCACAGCCCTACAAGACTTCAAAACTAAACTAAATGGCAAAATGCACCCTAAATAAGGAAGGGCCCTGACCCTCTCTCCTTCCTCAGACACGTGACGCCACGTCCGAGCCTGGGAGACATGGCCTGAGATGGCCTACATTACTTTCTTGGGAAGGATAAAGCCACCCAAGAAAGCTGCTCCCATGTAGAATGGTGGCACCAGCTGAGGGATAGTTTTCACTGGGAGAGACTAAACTTCCACAAAATGGTTCTAGGGAGCCAGAAAATAGACACATTCTGGACTATGCTTCTGATGGCCTTCTCTTCCTACGGTAACGTTGAAGTAAAGACCTCCACCCTGAACAGGGCCTGCCGAGGGCAGAAGTCCCTGCTCTGGACTCCCAGGCGGAGCTTAGAATCTAGACCTGCGCTGTCCGGTATGGCAGCCACCAGCCCCATGCGGCTACCTAGATTTTAATTAAATAAAACGAGTTCAGTTCCTCAGCTGCACCAGCCACGTGTCACGCGCTCGGCAGCCACAAGTGGTTAGCACTACCACACTGGGCGGTGCAGGCATAGAACTTGTCCATCATCATGGGAAGATCTACAGACAGCACTGATTTCCATGCTGGGTGGGATGGGGGCGGAAACGGTAAGCATGGTAGAGCTCCAATAGTGTCATTTTCTGTTGAAATAAAGTCACAGCAGGGGTATGGCAATGGCCCAGGGGTCCCACTGGGAAGTTGGCAAAGTGTCCCCCATGTCGGCTGGGGACCAAACTGGGACATCCACTTAGCCAGCCTTCAGGGGCCGGATCAGGCCCTTCCCCAGCTCTAGCTTGAGGAACCACAGGTTAGGGTTGAGGACCAGCATCTGCCCTCCCTCCCCACTTGTCCTGGCCAGCGTGGCCCTGCTCAGGAGCGAGATGGGGCAGCCACACCTCCCAGGCCCCAGCAAGTTCCACCCTCCCACTCTCCTTGATGGCCCATCCCATCAATCCTTTCCAGCCACTTCAGGAGAAGGCGCCACCCAGACAGTCCCGTCCCGCCCTTCCCGCCCTGTCCTCGCCTTCTGCAAGGGCTACCTGGCTTATGGTGGATGTTGCCTAATGAGCCACACTTGGAGGTCACCTTGCTCAGGTCCACTGGTTTGTAGACTATTTGCACCTGGAGGTGAGAGAGGATGAGCACGAGAGAGAATAAAACAGGACTATTTTACCGGGGGCATGACACAATGCAAAGCAGCTGTGTCCGTCCAGGCCCTGTGTGGACGGTGCTTCCTGTCTGCCACGAGGAACACACCCCGTCATGGCGGAAAAACATGTTGTTGGGATCCTGCCAACCCCACCCCAAGGAGCTGAGTCTTCACAACACAACTGGACAAGGACCCTCAGGGAAAAACAGGGACACGTTGTCATGGGGCAGGGCCCATGCTATTTGTTTAGCAGACACACATAAAAAGTCCCCCTCTTTCCTGACACGAAATTGACAGATCGTCCAGTGAGGACATAAAGAAGGACCAATATGATCCGTTTGTGCAGCATTTGAAACATCTCGTTGGAAAAGTGAGAGCCAGATCTGCAGGGACTCAAAGAGGAGGGCGGTGTCGGCTTCTCCTGGGAGAAGCCCCCACAAACCGCAGCACCCTGCAGCCAGGGAGTGACGGTCAGCAAGGAGGACCGCGAGCAGTTCTGCAACTTGGAGGTAAGGACCAGCTGGTGCCTGGGCACACAGGTCCTGGACATTTCGGTTCTTTACCAAAAGGAGCAAAGCGACACCAGCAGGTGGGGCAGGCGGCACAGCAGAACCCCACGGTTTAGCGTCTCGGCGCGCTGGAGCAGAGTTGGACACACCCATAGTGGGGAGGCCCAAGGGCTCCAGGGCTCATAACCTGCCCGAGGGTCCAGCAGAGGCCCGGCCACAGTGCCCACTCTCCCAAGGGGAATGCTGGCCCCTCTGCTGCCCGCTGATCTCAGCCCAAGAACCAGCTCCCCGTAGGGGCCACCCCCATGGGGACCCCGCATCGGCGGATGGGCCTCCTGGAGGAAGTCTCTACAAAGCCATGGCTGTGAGGAGGTCCCGGATGGTCACTGAGTGACACTTCCCAGGGCCTCCAGCAGTGACCTCGTGCGAGGTCACCTGAGGGTGCAGGAGTCAGTCGGCTCTGGCTCCCTGTCCCGGGGTTACCCAGGAAAGACACGCCTCACATCTGAGAAGTGGTTTAACAAGGACACCAGAAAAAAAGGAGGGGTTTCTACTTAGGTGTAAATCATCTGGAACAATCCCAAATTACTTTAATCAAAATCACGTTGGCGTTTGCAGTTATTGATGGAGAGTTGACTGAGGCCAGCAGGTGGGCCAGCCTGTCTGTCAGTGCCTGGAGCGAGGTGTGGGGAGCAGAGGCGGGGCAGCCAGCACCTGTGGGCTGGGCGGGTGGGTGATCAGCGATTCTGAGGAAGTGCTGGGAACAGGTCTGGGAGGGAGCGTGTGCTCTAGGGTGGGGCGCTGAAGAAGGGGGGCTAGGGGCTATGGGAAGTAAACGTTGCTGTAACCACGCCTTCCTCCTCTTCCTTCCGCCTGGGTGAGGGAGCTTGTGAGAGAGGAGGAAGGTGGGGTTGTGGAGAAGGTGGAACCTGGAAGGGCAGGGAGGGGAAAGGAAGGGGTTGTGGAGGGCGGGGGAGCGGGGTGCGGACTGGAGGCCAGGGGAGGGCGGAGGCCAGGCCCTGGAGTGGAGCCCAGAGCCAGCCAGGAGGCAGGCAGGACCCAGAGATGGAGAAGGAGCAGGGCCTCCCTGCTGGGAAGTCACCTCCAGGCTGGAAAGGGGAGAGAAGCAGGCCAGAGGCCAGAGCCCAGGCCAGGGGTCCCGTGCCCCTGGAACACCCACGGCTGACACTGAGCAGGGGCTGGTAACCCCCGCCCCCCACATTTCACCAGGAGAAGAGCTTTCTGTGAAGGCTCCTACTGCAAACCAGCAGTGGCCGTGGGCCAAGGACAGCGCTCAGGGCCGGCCCAGGGCGTCCTGTGGCTCCTCGCCAGGCCACGGGCTAGCTCACAGGCCGGCAGGGGCAGAGAGATGGGAGGCGCTCCGAGGAAGCCCCTCCATGTCCCAGGCACTGCCATCAGCTGTGGGAATGCACTCTCTCCTCCTGACTTCTGCCTGGAGGCGCTGTCTGCCGCCCAAGAGACCCCACGGTCTAGGCCGCACCAGCATAACCTCCCACCAGCGGACCAGACACGAGCTAAACTGGAAAGCACGTGGCCTTCCTCCTCCGGCCGGAGCCTGAATCCGCAGTGAAGCCGGAGAACCAGGAGTCAAAGCTGAACTCCCACTGGCACACAGAGCCCACGGTCACGGGCCAGGACTGGGGGTGGTCCCCACAGCTTCTCTTCCCTTCTCTCGGCAGAAGACAAGGTGGCAGTGGGACAAGAGAGTAGGGGCTGGGGGCACAGAGGAGACACTGAGCAGACATGGTGAGGAAGCGTTAACAAAGTGTCATGCAGCAGCCTCGGTGAGTGCCCGCTACTCCCGGGGACCACGGGGGCTCCGTGCAGGAGGACCACAGGATCCCGGTGCTCAGGGCGGGAGGCAGCAGTACATTGCAAGAATAAACCCACAGGGCTGGACGCAGATGACGAGTGGGCCCAGGCTGGGCATTTTCTGGAGAGAGAGCCCACCGGGGGCCACCACCATCACCCTGGTGTTGCAGCCAGGAGCAAGATGCCTGCTCTCAGAAACCATCCCTCTCCCAGGGGTGGACCTCAAAAGGGTCTTGAACCTTCTACTCCCCAGTGTGTTTAAACATTTGCTTACAGCTGACCAAGAGAGGCTGGGGGAGCGGGGAGGGGGCTGCGGAGAAGGGGAGCCGAGCCCTAGGATAGCGGAGTTTGCACCCACTGTCAGGACCAGCCGGATGACAACAGCAGAGTTGATCAAGTGGGGCAGTGAGGAGAGGAGGCTAGCCCCAAATCTCAGGGACACATCCACTAGGGACACAGGGAGTCCCTGGGGACATCTGGAGGAAGCCAAGTTTGAAAGGGCCCAAAGCAGCATTTCTCTGTCACCCCTCGGCTGCAGGCAGGTCCCCTGTGCCCTTCCGTTGGGCTCTTTTGCATCTGGAGTCTCTGCAAGGGTGGAGCTGGTTTTAAACACGAGCCAAGAGGCTTGGGAATCAGCTCATCCCTTGAAAATGCAGGAGACACGTGTGAGCAGGGACTGGACTTTCCTTGCTCTGAGGTAGGACAGGAAGACCTTAGTGTCTGCTTGTAAGGCCAGCTGCCCCCAGTGGAGCCACTCAAAGTGAACCTGCCAGGGTGACGGGGGACAAGGGGACAGCCCAGTCTCAGGTGCCGTCGCCTTCAGCCCGACCTCAAACGGCTGTGGGCCTTCCACGATTCCGTGCCGGGCGGCGAGTAGGGTTGATGGTGACAGGCAGGTACGACGCTGGGAGGCCGGCCTCCAGGCATGGTCAGAGAGCTGACCAGGCATCTTCCCTAATTGGCCCACGCAGCCCACGCAGGCGGGGGACCACAGATGCTGGGGCTCCCCTCCTACGACAGTGGGCACAGGTGTGGGGAGTCTGGGCTGCATTGACATGGGGACACAGAGAGGCCCCGAGCCTGAGGACGGTTTATTCTGTGCAATGTCTCGCAAGTACATCTACTCATGCCACCCCTCACACACCAGAACCGCAGCTGGCGCTGGCGCCTCTGCGGGTACTCACGCTGCCGCCTCCTGGCACGTGTTTGATATTATCCTTTGAGCCACACTTGGACTGGACGTTGCTAAGATCCAGCTTCTTATTAATTATCTGCACCTTTGACAGCCAGAAAAAAGGATGAGTGACACACCACACCCAGATCCATCTGCTCTGCACCCACATCCCGTCGTCGGGCGGGGAGAGGAGGCCCAGGCTGAGGGCAGCAGGTCTGAGTCACTCCTCTCGGGAGCTGCCCCGTGAAGGCATTCCAGAACTGTGAGTGGTCTGAGGCGGACCCCACCTTTCAACCCTGGGTTTACAACACAGATCCATCAGGAGGCAATTCTGCACTTCACAGAAGGACCGCATCAGGGAGGCCCCTCGGAGAGCACCTCTGAGGCCTAAAACCCCAGTCGAGTGTTCACCAGGTTGGGACGGAGTAAAATGTGCTCAGTTACGACACGAAATGAATAAATGAATAGTCCATCTGTGTCCTCATTCACACACCTCCCAGGCCCATCCGAACATCCACCGAGATCACTACATGGCTGTTCTCAGGCCCGGCAGGCACTGGAATCACCTGCAGATACTCTTTTAAAAACCCCAGACCCCACCCCTGACCTAGAACTAGAATCTGGGTCTCTGTGCCTCATTTGGATGCACGGCTATGTTCCAGAACCACTGTGTCCGGGGAAGGCACAGACGGCTTCATGGGGAAGACAAATCCCGACCCCTCTCCGTGTGAGGCGTTGTCCCAGGGCAGGCAGGGTCAGTGCTGTGGCCGCAACCCCCTGGCGGCTTGAAGGGACTAGGCAAATGCTCCAGGTGTCTCCTCGTGGCCCCCCTGAGCAGGGGCGGCCCACGTGGTGGATTCCCACCGCATTTCTGCGCGGTCTGTGATCTCCAGGCGCCAGGGGGGAGGTGCGGGGATATCGACGTTTTAGTGGGGAAGAACTTTTTATCCAATTTGTTTAAAAACTATGAAATACACAGACAACCACGACCTGGAGAAGGAGCGTTGAAAAGCCCTGCGTTTTGTCTGCTGGAGCGGTGACAACGTCTTCATCACAGGTGGCTTCCCCTCAGGAGCTCCGTGTTGGGAAACAGTGTGCCTTAGCGTCTATTAATCACAGATATAAGTAACTGCCAATGGGAGTTCCCAATAGAGAAATTTTGGAAATGGCGCCGGGACCTCAGGGGCTGCCTTTGCAATCCTGGGTGGGGGCGGCTGCTCCGGAGGCCCAGGACCTGTCAGGACAACTGTGGCCGCGGACGGGCGCCCTGGCCTGGCTCATCCAGGGAGATGGTCCCAGACCATCAAGGGGGCCACAGGTCCTCAGCAAAATGAGGAAATGAGGACACGATAGCAAAACTTGTCCATCCTACTTTTTGGTGTTAAAATGGCCTTTCCGGGCCGGCCCCGTGGCTTAGTGGTTAAGTGCAGGTGCTCCGCTGCTGGCGGCCCAGGTTCGGATCCCGGGCGCGCATTGAGGCACTGCTTCTCCGGCCATGCTGAGGCCGCGTCCCACATACAACAACTAGAAGGATGTGCACCTATGACATACAACTATCCACTGGGGCTTTAGGGAGAAATAAATAAATAAATAATTTTAATTAAAAAAATGGCCTTTCCTTCATTAAATTACTAATTATTAAATTACATTGATAGTAGGTAATATTTATTATTTTTAGACGTCCTTAACCTGGCAAAATAAAAATACAGTAATCTTCTCTTAGACCCTGTCCCCAGTTTCCTAAGTTTACTGGTGTGAACCTAAAAATCTGTGAAGTACCTATTTAACCCACCTTTTTATTTTCTTTTATGTTTCTTTGAAATAAAAAGCTATGCATTTTTTTTCATCGGAAAAGTAACATAACATTATGGTTTTGAAAAACAGGTTAAAAAACGCAAAAACAAAAGTTATCTTGCCACCTAACACAACTGCTACTGCATTTTGTTGTATTTCCTTGAAGTCTCATATATATATAGATAAAACTACCATCTTATACATATAAATGGTAGTAATAACTGTGTACATACAATTTTATATCTTGCTTTATCAAGTACCATCACATCCTAAGCATTCGCCATGTTCTACAGTTATCAGAAGCATTATCTTAAATAAGATGTCAGGGCTGGCCTTGTGGCCTAGTGGTTAAGTTTGGTGCGCTCCACTACGGTGGCCCAGGTTTGGTTCCCAGGCGTGGACCTACACCACTCATTGGCGGCCATACTGTTGTGGTGGCTCACAAACAAAATAGAGGAAGATTGGCACAGATGTTAGCTCAGGGCAAATCTTCCTCAGCAAAAAAAATAATAATAATAAAAAAATTAAAAAGTGAAAAAAATGTCATGTTCCATTTTTTGATATCTGTGCTGTCAGACATTTGTATTGATTCCATTTTTAATAATATAAACAGCCTCACCATGAACATTTTTCTGCAAGGAGTCTTTTCCATATAATGGATTATTTTCATAGCATAGATTCCCAGAAAAGTTATAAATATTCTAAAAAGTGTCAATACAACTCTCCAAATGGCTTTCTAAAAGGATCAGATTAATTTACCCCATGAGCACTGTTGAGAAAGTCAGTGTCACCGTATTGCTGCTAGCTTTGGGCATTTTAAAAATTATTTTGCAACTAGCTTATTAGTGGTGAGCATGATGTACTCTATACAGAAACTGATATATAATAATGTACACCTGAAATTACACAATGTTATAAACCAATATGACCTCAATAAAATAATTAAAATAAATTATTTTGCTTATTTCTTTGACTAAAGTAAATTGGACTGCATTGTTGGCTTATTCTGCATTTCTTTTTTTCTTTTTTTTTTGCTGGGGAAGATTCACCCTGAGCTAACATCTGTTGCCAATCTTCCTTTTTTTTAATGTGAGCTGCTGCCACACCATGGCACTGACAGACGAGTGGTGTGGTTCCCCGTCCAGGAACCGGGCCCGGGCCGCCAAAGCAGAGCACACTCAATTTAGGCCATAGGGGCTGGCCCCCTGCATTTCTTGATTATTACTAAAATTGCTCCTTTGCCCCCTTTTTGCTGGTAGGTGTATTTTTTTCTAACATATAAATGTTTACAGTTTTATATACGAAATTCTTCCTTTGTAATTTCTTCTCTGGTTTTTAAATGTAAAAACCATCCCTGATTGAGAGGTTGGATAAATATCTAATTCCACATCACGTTCCTCACCTGCTGGGCCCCAGCTTAGTGACGAGGGGCCATTTGAGGCCCAGAGAGGTTCAGAGACTGCCTCAAGTTAGTGGCAGAACCCACACAGGAACCTGGATCTGGGCATTTCTGTGGCCACAGGCTCCTATGTGACAAGAAGCTTCCGCCTGAGCTGTCCTCAGGCCTGCTGTATCAGAAGCCAAATAAAAACAACTCTCTTGGTGAACACTGAGGTTCCCTCCTGCCAGCAAGGAGACAGCACGCAGGCTTGAGATGGGAGGAGGAGGAACAGGCTTTCTCACACTGCTTCTTAAGGAGCTGCCATCACTCTCTGCACAAGGTCTTCAATCAGTTCATGCCACCCTTAGATTTTAAGGAGTCCCACACGAACTCCTTCTTTGGGGATCATTTTTTATTCATAACTTTCCATTGGATAAGTCGCAGAAGTAGATTTGCCTGCTTTCACAAAGGAATTGGAGTTTAGAATTAGAAAACACACACATACACACAAACACACAAAATAATAAAACAAGAAAATTTAGAGGATAATGGTAAAAGAAGGGGCGGTCCTTAGGACTGACAATTATAAGACTTATGATTACATTTAGCTCTGAGCTTCCTGGAAGCCAAGGCAAAAAGGGAAAGCTGATGCGTTATATAACTCTCCTTATCTGACAAAGAAAACTTACCAGTTTTTCAAGGAAGATAACCTTGTTTTCCGTACTAGTCCATACAAGAAATTCATCAAATGAATAAACAGACATTAAGCAATAACAAGATCTGCAACATACATAGAAATGTTTTCTCCATATGGCTTCTTGTTCCAATCCCACAAAAAAAGGCAACAAGCTTTTGTGGGATTTGGCAGTGGACATAAGGATATTTACAAAGCAGACTTGAATCTCTGTTAGCTGTCAATTTAAGGCAACACCCTTTACAGAATGTTAGATTTACAGAAAGGAGAAAAAAGGGTAATGGTTGGCATTATGAAATTGGAATCCTTAATTTCTCAGCTAGAGTAATGCATATGATATTGAGCCTCAGCTCTGGGCAGACATTGAAAATACACCCATCAAAAACAAGAACAATGTTTTGGAAGCTCCAAATTTTGATCCAGGGGAGAAATTCCTGTGGACAGCGTTTGACCCTGGGGAAGTGGCTGGGGTGGGGTGAGGATGGGGGTGGGTCCACTTTGGTTTAATCCATTTCCTAGAGGACCCCAAAATTGTCCTAAACCCTCCCTGGGCCTTGATCTTGTTCCGGTTGGGCTCAGCTCTCTCGAGGTGCTCCAGACGGCCCAGCCCTCCCCCTAGGAGCTCCCAGGCTGGCCCAGCGGCCACGGGCCGTCCCTGGTGAGGCCCGTCCCCAGCCCCGCCTGTCGACAGGCCCAGGGCTGAGGACTGGGGGCTGCGATGCTCTGGCGGGAATTTAACCTGGGGTGGGCCCTGGACATCCACAGCAAGCCTTCTCTTCAAGTCCCGGTGGTCAGCCTGAGAACTAGCACGGGAAAACTTATCTAGGTACTGTCAAGTCAAGCGTCAAGAGATCAAACGACAGGGGCTCACATTTAGAATTATTCACACTGCTCCTTTGAACAGTGACTGCCCCCAGCAGATGGGATTCACACACAAGTTTTTCAGAAACATAGACACTGTGTACAGGGGGAGATACCCAGAGGGTCTCAGAGTGACAGGGCTGTCCCCAAGGAGGGTCCCAGGCTGTCTCTGCAGGGCCTGCCTAACACCTCAGCTCAGGTTCAGCTGAGGCCCTGGTCCTGAGCCAGGAGAGGCAAACTATCCTAGGTGCAAATTCACTTTATTTACTCCACATAAATGTTCTACACGTGTGCTTTTTAAAATGAGAACTGGGTCTTTGTCAATAAATATAATAAATTTTAAAAACACTTCAGTTCTCCAGAGTGGAGACAG